TTTGGTCAGACAATGTTTGCATAGATGACCCTGCCTTGATGTTGCAGTGCCCATACCAGCCACAACCCAACGTCTCTGCCACTGACACTTCGTGTGACTGCTTGGATGCAACAATGCCGAATGAACTTATTTCGAGCCTTGGTCTCGACCTCTCTACCTATGCAGACTATGGCCGACAGTGCGGTCCACATGATGCAGACGTTTGCGACAAAACCTATCCTGGTGCAGACCATGCGATGTGGTGTTGCACATCGTGGTGTTGGGTCTCTGAGTCTTGTCCAACAGCACGTGCTTCGACTGTGTGGCAAGGTCACTACTGGAGCCAGGAGAGATGCAGCTTGAACGCAGAAGCTGTGTCTGCCTGCAAGTGGGAGTCCCTTTGTGAGTGTCGAGGGCAACTGCCAGATGGCACTTTTGATGGAAAAGGGAACTTTGCTGCAGACTATGGAAGCAGTTGCTCATCATGGGATGCAGTGGGTTGCCAGACAGTGTGGGGAAGTAATTCGAATTGGGGCGCCACCTCGGCTGACAATGAAGCTTGGTAGCTTTAGGATGTTACTGAAGGATCGAGACCAATTATATATTTCAAACGGGTGCAGGGTTTTCAACTTCGCCACAACTGATGGCAAGATTAGAATCCAAACCTGCAGTTTGCTAGAAATTGGTGACACTACAATAGACCTTCATCAATGACACATCGAAAAGGCAAGTGAACCTGCGTGAACCAAGATCTTAGGAGTGGTGTTGTGATTCCTGGTGTTATGTCAACAGCAGCTGCCCCATTGCAAAGAAGTCCTGGCTTGGCACTGGTTATTCCTTCAGCTATGAGACTTGCACCTTGGAGTCAAGGGATTCCATGGGAAACCGACAGGTGATTATTTTTTTGAAGGATGGGCTGAGGCACAAGACTCACAAAACACCCAGGGTTGAGCTTCCCCATGAAAAGCATATTCAATTCGATATGTCAAAGTTATTTTTAAGCCCTGACCTGGCAAAGTGTTTGCTGCATTGCTACATTTTGCAACATGATGCTCCATCCAGCTCAGCAGTGGGCAACTCAGAAGTACTGAGCGGGCATGGTTTGTTTCTCCCGTGCTCTATGCACAGCAACCACACATCGGAATTCTATGAAACACCTTTGCTGATCATTGTTTAGGTGATGATGGACCGGAAACTTACAACCTCGCCACGGATACCTGTGATGCAGCACGCCGGCTTTCCGCCCGTCGTCGTGGAGGTGGAGGAGGCTGGAGCTCGTATTCATCACCAAGGCGGAGAGCTCCCTCAGCACCTGCCTCATATCCACGGCGACGATCATATTCGGCACCCACCTCATATTCTGCTTGACGACGTGCCCCGTCACCGCCGCCACCAAATATCCGGCGAAGGGCACCACCACCACCAGTGCCCACACCCATCGAAACTCGGCGAAGGACCAGTAGCATGAACGGACAATCATATGCTACGCAGCCGCGCAGGCGTTTCGCTGGCAACTTGGTTTGAACAGAAGAAGTTGGTTGCATCAAAAAGCATTAAGCAACGCCATTAGCCAATGACAAAGGTGTTTGACAAGTTTCTTTTTAAAGCACGATTTTGCGTCACGCATTAGAAAGGCCTCCAGTCCGTTCTGTACCACTGTAAGTCTATGTTGTTGCTTAGTCATGTATGCCGTTCTCATACAGTGTTGTTTATCCTGTCATCAAGTGAAAATTGAATCTATCATTGTTCAGGTGATGCTGATCTACGACGCCGCAGAACGATCCCTGAGCAACCTTATGGCTATGCAAACAGGCCCCAGATGATGAACAACTATGGGGGCACCATGCCGCAGCAGACTCCCTATGGATATTCAGGCACGGATTTAGCATGCTCCGCAAGCTCAACATTTGGTGAACAACCAAGGCACCGACACCAGAACCTCATTTCGCTGATTTCTTATACTGTAATATACTGTATCATTCTTCTTCAGGCTTTCAATTGCCAAGAGTATTCAACGACTGACTGGCAGCAGTGGAGCGCGGTTTGGTTGTTAAGTTGCAAGATGTACAGAACATTTTGCAATTATGCAACATGTCAATTGGTTAAACAGATTGTTTTACAGCAATCATCGTTAATGGATGATTGAATTATCATGAACTATCTATATAATGGGCTGACACTGAGAGTTGTTGCAAGCTGTTAATTTACAGACAACGGCATGGTTTGGGCTCATTGCATGCCTTTTTTCTCGGGGAGTCAGTGAGTCACCTTGCTGAGTGATTGGTGTGAGATGTTGTACGAGGGGAATTCCACTTGTCGATCAAGGACCTTATTTGTCATGCTTTCCACTGTGATTTGCCTCACCCTGCCATTAGAACTGTAATCATTCTTCTCCACCAATTTGCTTGGAACCAATTGCCACATAGACTGGCCTTGGATGCTCCTAGCAGATATTACAGTCGGCAGTTCTTCCACCTGACATTGTTTGTTTTTAGATGATCTTTCATCATTCGTTGTGTTTGCCCTCCAGGCTACAACGCTGTGCCTGCACAGAAGCCGGTGAATGTAGCGATGTATGCTGCAGGTGGCGCTGCTGCTGGTCTAGTGGTGGGTGCTGGAGCAATGAAGCTTAGTGCTGGTTTAAGAGATGTTTCTTGCTTCAGAAACCTTTGAAAGCTGCCTTTGCTCTCTTTTGCCTGTTGAAATATCAAACGGCTCTTACGTGCAGAATCTTAGCTGTTGTCCTTGTCGAGTCTCTGGCAAAGGTCCTTGATTGGCCTTTTGCAAAGAACGACATTCCTGACCTTTTTGGTGTTTGTCGTCCACAAATGTTTTTTCTTGCTGCAGTAGATCTACTGAAGGCAGATCCCTCGCAAAGACCAACATAGATTTTGCATGATTTTGCTCTTCAGGAGCACGCTTCGCTATGGGTCGACAAAAGATTTCCGAAACAGCTTTTTGATCCTTTTTGCGTGGGGATGGTTTATATATAGTGAAATGCCCACAGTTAGAATATGGACTAATTCCAAAACCATAATTAGTCAGGATTTTTGGGATACCTTCATGCATCACTATATTCTAACTGCAAATGCACATAGAATGAGTCCGGAATTGCACTTAGAAATCAATGCGTGACTTTGAAGATCAAAACCAAGGTCAAGATCAACCCAGTTCAGATGAACCAGATCAAAACCAGTATATATATATGTATATTCTATGAGCATTGCAAAATGTATATATATATATATATATTCAGCGGAGTGTGCTCAATTGAACTTGTTAGCACTTGAGGTACAGTGAAGGGTACATGTGTCAATTACACGTGTAAACATCAACATCCAAGTCTATCCAATCTTTGTGCCATGTCGGAATTGGGCTGGTACAAGTGTCGAGACGTTGAAGCTGCCGTGGATCATTACGACGTTTTGGGGGTCCCGCCTCATCCTGGGGATGAGAAGCACAGACCATTTCAACGTGCAGTTTTGCTATCTATGGTACCGTCTCAACAAATCACCAAGTGCTACCATCAAGCTGTTGAAAGCGCTGAGGGGAATGCCAGGCAGCTTGAGCGTGTGCAGGATGCGTACAACAGTCTCCGCAACAAAGCGGGGAGAGACAAATACGATCTAGTACTTCTTCAGGCTGCAACCAAGGCAGGGTACAGCTAAGTGCATATGCACGGTATTCTAATTGCATATGCATGGTATTCAGCTAGTGGATAATATTATATGTATATATATATAGTGTGAGGTGGTGTATTCTAAGTGCATCGGTTTGTTTCACGCTCAGCAAATCCTGACACCTCTCACGCAGGCGACACATGCTTGTTCTGCTCAGGAAGTTGCACGTTCCAAGGCTTCTTCAGACCGTGAGAAGCAACCTTTGCCAGAACCTCCGCTTCCTCCACCTCCTGGTGAGCCTGATTGCACATCAGATGACGATGGAGGTGTTGACAACAATGAGGCCCGTCCAACCAATGGTTTGTATGCACAGTAAACATCCACACATGCATACACATGCGATCTAGTCTATACTAGTTAATTCTAATAATGTAATGCATACACATACAAAGGCTCGGAACACACTGAGACCTTGCAGGTGAAACATCTAGAGACAAGCAAGAACTTCAGCATCTTCCAGAAGCATGTCAGGGTCTCTCTGCCAAACGGGGGGGGGCAAGCGGAACTTCACTTTCATGTGCTACGTCAACCAAACCACTGCTGTGCTGGCAGCAGGGAATTTTGAAGGCCTTGTGAATGAAATTATGGGTGATTTTGACTCAGCAGGCCGCAAACCTGCGCATCGGCAAAGCATCCTGACTGATCATGGAGTGGACTCCAAGTTCATGAAGAGATGTATTCGTGATCAACGGAAGGAGCTTGTCGATAGATTGATGAATGGCAGTTCCAGCCTGGTAGAGAACAACATTGTGAAGTATTTGTGCACCAGAGTTCACGACCAGACCATCTTGGAGAAGTCTTCCATTGAGGTGAAGGGAGCTGGCTTTACAGCATCATTCTCTGGATCTCAACAGAAAGTGGAACAAGCGTTCAAACCTTTCAAAGCTGCTTCTGATTGGATCATTCAGCTTCACAAGGCTGACAAGGACAAATGGCAACACTACAGTAATACCCAATATGTTTCAAGATATATATATATATATAGTATTGACACTCGATGGACTTAGAATATGGAAAGCATTGAATTGAACTTCAATCATTGAAACATGTTCACAGCGCCAGGATGGGGCTCTGTCAAAATGCGTGAAGCATGCGGCTGCCAGTGGTAAAGAAGCAGTGGCCTTGCAAAATGCTCTCGGCACATTGGTATCGGCTTCCAGTGGCAGTCTTGCTGAGATAGCGCAGAAATTGTCAGAAGACACCACCAAGAACTTGCAGGATACTCAAGATGTCACCGCAGCCTTTCTTTCCTGTGATCCAGTGCATGCACCTGAGATGGAAGAGAGTCCGTTTATTGTTTATCGTGGACTTGTTCAAGCCCTTTCAGCTCGCAAGCCAAAGGAGAACTCTTTCAAGCTTTGGATTTTGGCAGGAAAGGATGGCCTAGTGCTTGACATCATTTTGGGCTGTGATTTGAATGCTACCTTGACCACACCGGAGCTCGTAGACAGGTGGCAGAAGATGGAATACAAGCTTATGGGACTAGTGTTGTGGGATGAGGAACAAAGGTCGGAGAATCACCGTGATCTCATGAACCAAATGGCAAAGCACCAGGAGGGACCTTTGTTGTTGATTGTCTTTGGATCCTGTTGTGATCCATTCTGCTGGCGATATGATGGAGATGGTTGCTTCTTGTCGGTCAACCTGAGCAACAAAGGAAAGAATCGCAGGAAGAATGCCAACTACCAGATTATTCCAGTTGATCAGCTTGGCGTGAGTATTGCAGATGAAGCGAAGTTCCTGGTAGACCAAGCAATTATTGACCAAATGGACATGGCTATCAAAACAAACCAGGAGAGCAGCACACAACTGCAGGGCGAAGACTTGGTCTCCTTCATGAAAGTGCCAATTCCAGAAAATGGCTTTTGCTTTTGGCACTCTGTATTGGCAGGCCTTCGTGTGGAGCAGTATCGCCAAGTACCCCGGCATACAAATGTTTTTGCTGTCAACAAGCGACAACTAGCAGCAGAAGCAGATGCAGCGAAGCGCTTGATGTTACTTCTTCCAAATGCAGAGATACGCTATGAAAATGGCTACGTTGGGCTCTGTGACATTGCACGAATTGGGGAAGCATTGAACCTTGCCATTCGCTGTACTATTCCAGATGAGGCTGGGGTTGTTTCAAATTCTAACTGCATATATTTGTTGGTAAGTGACAAAAGGTTAATGAATTACAAGAAAAATGGTCTGCGATATGCACCGGTGGCTATATTTTAATATATACAAAAAACCTTATGCCAAATACAAATTCAATTGAAAACAAATCTATATATATATACTATTCACATCATGCGCATTGCCGGCATACTAGACTATGGAAACATAGAGCTATATGCAATGCATATATATATATACTTCTGAGTTTGACAAATTTTTAAAAAACAGTCCTTTGACAAGTGCCTTTGTCAGGTCTTCCGGTGGATTGCTGAATCAGCTGAGGATAAGGATATACCGCAGGATGCTGTGCACGGCAAGCAACGTACGCCACCAGATGTGCACCTATACTTCCAGTGGCTGATTGATGAGGCAGGCAAAGGCTACACTCACTTTGATATTCTTTTGCAATCGAACTGTATATCACCAGTGCGGCTGCCTGCTGAGACAACCAAGTAATTGCCTTGCAACAAGGACATTGCAACATATTTTGACACTGCAACATACAAAGGCAAACAGTATGTGTATGGGCCAACAAGATTGCCACCATCGAAGGACCTGACTCAAGAAAAGATTGACAAGATGTTTGGCGTGGTACGGCACACAATTGACCAAGCACAAGCAGCACAAGCAGAACATCCTCAGCCATCGGCAGAAGAAAGCGCAGAAACGGTTCAGCAGAGCAGTGC